CCATTCCATCATCGCCCTCCCTTTCTCTTCAGAATCTTACTCTTCCTCCTCTCCTTCCCTCCATCCTCCTCCTCCCTCCTTCCCTCCAGCATTCCCTTTCCCCTCCCTCCTTCCTTCCCTCCAGCATCCCCCCCTTCTTTTCACCCTCCCTTCCCTCCAGCTTCTCCCTCCCCCACCCTCCCTTTTCCTCTATCTCCTCCTCCTCCCTTCCCCCAGCATCCCCTCTCCCCCCTTCTCTCAACCTCCTCTTTCCCCCAGCATCCCCTCTCCCCTCTCCCCATCCTCCCTCTTCCCTCCAGCATCCCCCCTCCCACCCTTCTCTCCCCCTCCCTCTTCCTCCCAGCATTCCTTCTCCACCCTCCATCCTCCTCCTTCTCCTCCCTTCCCTCCAACATCCCTCTCCCCCTTCTTTCCACCCTCCTTCTTCCCCCCTCCCCACACCCCTCTTTCCACCCTCCCTTCCCCCCACCCTCCCCTTCCCTCCAACCTCCTCCTCCTCTCCCTTCCCCCAGCATTCCTCTCTCCCCCCTCCCTCTTCCCCCCAGCATCCCCTCCCACCCTTCTTTCCACCCTCCTTCTTCCCCCCTCCCCCACACCCCCTTTCTTTCCACCCTCCTTCCCCACCCTCCCTCTTCCCTCCAACCTCCTCCTCCTCCCTTCCCCAGCATCCTCTCTCCTCCCTCCTCTTTCCCCCACCCTCCCTCTCCCCCCTCCCTCTTCCCCCAGCATCCCCTCTCCCCCTTCTTTCCCCCCTCCCTTCCCCTTTTCCCTCTTCCCCCAGCATCCCTCTCCACCCTTCTTTCCACCCTCCCTCTCCCCCCTTCTTTTCACCCTCCCTTCCCCTTTTCCCTCCACCCTCCAGCGTCCCCACCTCGAGACGCGGTCCTTCCCTCCAGCATCCGCAGATGGACCGAGCGGGAGGGAGATAAAGTCTTCAAGATGTTATCTCCCGAGGAAGTCTATCCCGCAGGCACCTCCAAGACGGAAAGGAAGACGTCCCTTCATAATGGTTTGGACCCTCTTGACTCGCCTCGCTGTCTGAGACGCAATAAGGGCTTTTCCCCTACTTGAAATGGAGGGAATTTCGTTTGTGTTTGTGTTATTTTCGTTGTTGGTTTAAAAAAATATATTTCTTATGGTTTATTATTTTTACACTTTTACATTTTCTCGGCCTCTTTATCAATCATATCTATTCATCTTTTTTCTTAACTATCGATTAATTTACATTTGTCATTTATGTTTTTCTTCTCCTTACTTGGCGTTCTTCCTATTTCTAAAATATACCGTTTCTGTCATTTTCTCTGTTTATCAACTGTTTCTTTTCTTCTTCTCTCTAGATTTTTTACTGAATCTTTTAAAATTTTTATTTTCATTTGCCATTCTTATCAACTTTGAACCACTTGCTGCTATCGGTTCTTTATCTTTTACCATTTATCTCTCCTTTCTTCTATTCCAAGTTATCTTTTTATTCCTCTTCTTTTTCATTCCCTTCCTATCCCTTCTCCTTTTTCCTTCTCTCCTCTGTGCTTTCCCCCTGTCATTTCTTTCATCCTTCTATTATGTCTTTTGTCTCTTTCGTTCCTTAATTACTTCTTTCTCCTTTCTATTTTTTCTTTCCCCGTCGTTATCCCCTTGTATCACTTATTTCGTATTCTATCATTTAAGTCTCTTCCTTTCCTCTTCTTCCTCTCTCCTTCCTTCTAGTCTTCCTCGTTTTCCTTTCTTCCTCCTAGTCGTCCTCGTTCTTTCCTTCCTCCTCCTTCTCTCTTCTTCCTAGTCCTCCTCCTCCTCCTTCTCTCTCCTTCCTTCTAGTCTTCCTCGTTTTCCCTTCCTCCTCCTCCTCCTCTTCTTCCTCCTAGTCCTCCTCGTTCTTCCCTTCCTCAACCTTCTCTCTTTTTCCTCCAAGGTCTCCACGTTCTCCCTTTCCTCCTCCTCTTCTCTTCTTCCTCCTAGTCATCCCTCCTCTTCCCTATAATTTCCTTCACCATTCGATTATTTCCTTCCTTCTTCCATAACTACATTTAGCCATCTATCACATCTTTCCCCCATTCTCATTTCCTTTCTGTCTCCTCTTTCACTTAATTTATTATTTCGTCGTTTCCTTTTCCCATTCTCTCATTTCCTTCATTTCTTTACCGTGTTTTTTTTTCTCTCTCTCTTTCATCAGTCTTTTCACTCTTCTCTCTCGCCTTTCATCCTTCTGTGGCATCTTGCAACCTTTCTTCTCTCATTTCTTTTCCAATTCTCTGCCACTTCTTTCTCCCTTTCATCCTTCCTTTAACTTATCTCTCACTCCCTTTTCCTTTTATCACACCTTTTAACCCTACTCTCATTTCTTTCAATTCTCTGCTACTTCTTTCTCCCTTTCATACCTCATTTAACTTTTCTCTCACTCTTTTTTTTCTTTCTATCACATCTTTTAACTCTCTCTTTCTTCCTTCACTCTTCCCTCATTCCCTTTTTCCTTCTATCACATCTATCAACTCTTCTCTCATTTCTTTCAATTCTCTGTCATGTCTTTCTTCCTTTCTCTTTTCTCTCATTCCCTCTTTTCTTTCTATCACACCTTTCAACACTTTTCTCATTTCGCTCAACTCTCTGCCATTTCTTTCTCCCTTTCATCCCTTCTTTCACTCCTTCTTTCTTTCTTTCACTCTTCCTTCACTCCCTATTTTCTTTCTATCACGCCTTTCACCCTTTTCTCATTTCGCTCAACTCTCTGCCATTTCTTTCTTCCTTTCATACCTCCTTTTATTCTTCTCTTGCTCCTTTTTTCTTTCTATCACTTCCTTTTAACATTTTTTTTCGTCCTTTCTCTTTTTTCATTCTATTTTTCCTTCTATCACATCCTTCAACTCTCTCTTTCTTCCTTTCACTCTTCTCTCACTCCCTATTTTCTTTCTATCACGCCTTTCAACCCTCTTCTCTTTTCTCTCAACTCTCCGCCACTTCCTTCTCCCTTTCACCCTTCCTTTCACTCCTTTCTTATTTTCACTCTTCCCTCACTCCCTTTTTTCTTTCTATCACACCTTTCAACCCTTTTCTCATTTCGCTCAACTCTGCCATTTCTTTCTTCCTTTCATCCTTCATTTTTACTCTTCCCTCATTCTACTCTCTCTTTCTACCTAACACTCTTCCCTCACTCCCTTTTTTTCTTTCTATCACGTCTTTCAACCCTGTTCTCCTTTCGTTCAACTCTCTGCCATTTCTTTCTCCCTTCTTTCACTCCTTCTCTCTTTCTTTCGCTCTTCCTTCACTCCCCTTTTTGTTTCTATCACGCCTTTAAACCCCTTTCTCCTTTCGCCCAACTCTTGTCATCTCTTTCTTCCTTTCATACCTCCTTTTACTTTTTTTTACTCCTTTTTTCTTTCTATTACATCCTTTAACATTATTTTTCTTCCTTTCACTTTTCTCTCATTCTATTTTATCTTCTATCACATCCTTCAACTTTCTCTTTCTTCCTTTCACTCTTCCCTCATTCCTTTTTTTTTCTTTCTTTCACGCCTTTCAACCCTCTTCTCATTTCTCTCAACTTTCCGCTCCTTCCTTCTCCCTTTCACCCTTCCTCTCACTCTTCCCTCCTTCCTTTTTTCTTTCTATCACACCTTTCAACCCTCTCCTCATTTCTCTCAACTCTCTGCCACTTCCTTCTCCCTTTCACCCCTCCTTTCACTCTTCCTTCACTCCCTTTATTCTTTCTATCACGCCTTTCAACCCTTTTCTCATTTCTCTCAACTCTCTGTCACTTCTTTCTCCCTTTCACCCCTCCTTTCACTCTTCCCTCACTCCCTTTATTCTTTCTATCACGCCTTTCAACCCTCTTCTCATTTCTCTCAACTCTCCGCCACTTCCTTCTCCCTTTCACCCCTCCTTTCATTCTTCCTTTACTCCCTTTATTTTTTCTATCACACCTTCAATTCTCCTTTCTTAACTCTCCGCCACTTCTATCACACCTTTCAACCCTCTTCTCTTTCCGCTCAACTCTCCGCCACTTCCTTCTCCCTTTCTATCACACCTTTCAACCCTCTTCTCCTTTCGCTCAACTCTCCGCCACTTCCTTCTCCCTTTCTATCACACCTTTCAACCCTCTTCTCCTTTCGCTCAACTCTCCGCCACTTCCTTCTCCCTTTCTATCACACCTTTCAACCCTCTTCTCATTTCTCTCAACTCTCCGCCACTTCCTTCTCCCTTTCTATCACACCTTTCAACCCTCTTCTCCTTTCTCTTAACTCTCCGCCACTCCTTCCCTTTCTATCACAACCTTTCAACCTCTTCTCCCTCGCTCAACTCTCGCATTCCTTCTCCCCTTCTATCACACCTTTCAACCCTCTTCTCCTTTCGCTCAACTCTCCGCCACTTCCTTCTCCCTTTCATCACCTCCGCTGTCATGCAACCCAGCCCTTGTTTCTCCCTTGGCTGCACTTACACGCCCTCCATCTCTCGCTCAATTAAAATAATGGTTGGCCACTCACGGTTGCATTGTGTGGGTGAGAATAAAGTATTTTTGTATTCGTCTTATTTTGGAAATTCTTTATTGTTGCCTTTTTCTTTTGGTCTTTTGATTTTTGGGGGGTTTTGTATGTGTGTGTTTTTTAGGTCTGTCTTTTTATTATGATTTTTTAATTTGTTTTTCGGTATGTTTTGTCTGTCTCTGTTTGTTTGTCTGTTTGTCTACCCGTCTGTCTCTCTTGCTGAGTTTGTCTGTGTGTCTTTCCTCCTCTCCTTTCCCTCCTCCTCCTCTCTCTCTTTTCCCCCTCCCTCGCACTCCTCCTCTCTCTCTCTCTCTCTCTTCCCTCTCTCTCTCTCTACCCCTCCCTCTCTCCTTCACTCACTCTCTGCCTCTTTTATCCTCCATTCCCTCTCTCTCCTTCCCTCTTTGCCCAACTTTTCAAACTGTTCCTCCCGCTCGCAGGTGACCCATCAAGATTATCCCTGTCATTAGGGTCTTTGACTAATCCCCTGAATATGTCACCATTTGCACTCATTTTCGCTCGTATATTTCTTGCTGTTTCTGTCTCTGTCTGTCTGTCGCTTGGACGGTCTCTCTCCCTCTCTCATCTTTCTTTTTTTTTTCTTTCACTCTCTTGTTCTCATTTTCTTTTTCTTCTTCTATCTCTTTTTCCCTCTCTCTCTCTCTCCTATTCCTCTTTTCCTTTCTTCTTTTGTTCTAGTTCTTCGTCCTTCTCCTTCTCTCCTTTTCCCTATCTTTTTACTTCTCCTTCTCTTTCCATTCCTCCTCCTCTCCTCTTATTCCTCCTCGTTCTTCCTTTTCCTCCTTTCTTCTCTTCTTCCTCCCAGTCCTCCTCCTCTCCTCGTCTTCCCTTCCTCCTCCTCTCTTTCTTCTCTTCCTCATTCCTTTCCATTCCCCCTCCTGTCCCCTTCTTCCTCCTAGTCCTCCTCGTCTTTCCTTTCCTCTTCCCCATTTTCCCTCCCCTTCCTAGTCCTCCTTTCTTCTTCATCGTCCTAGTCTTCCTACTTTCTTCCTCTCCCTCCTCCTCTCCTCTTCTTCCTATTTTCTTCCTCTTCCTCCATCTCCTCTGTCCATTCTTCCTCCTCTCCTCTTTCTCCTCCTGTTCCCTCTTCCTCATCCATCTATCACCCTTTTTTATATCAGATTCCCCCTTCATACATCTTCCTCTCCACGTCACTTCAATTCTTGATATGTTATTACGCCATTTCTCTCTCCTCTCTCTCTCTCCCCTCCCTCTTTCTCTCTATCTATCCATCTATCTACCTCTCTCTCTCTCTCTCTCCCCTCCCTCCTCTCTCTCTCTCTCCTCTCTCTATCTGTCCATCTATCTACCTCTCTCTCTCTCTCTCTCCTCTCTTTCTATCTATCTATCCATCTATCTACCTCTCTCTCTCTCTCCCCTCCCTCTCTCTCTATCTATCCATCTATCTACCTCTCTCTCTCTCTCTCTCCCTCTCTTTCTATCTATCTATCCATCTATCTACCTCTCTCTCTCTCTCCCCTCCCTCTCTCTCTATCTATCCATCTATCTACCTTTCTCTCTCTCTCTCTTTCTCTCTCTATCTATCCATCTATCTACCTCTCTCTCTCTCTCTCGCAAATTCCCTGCCAATGTGACCCTTACGTCCCTCTCGAGCGCTGATTGGTCGCTGTCTGCTGAGCATTTTGCTTTCCACGCCCCTCGAGTCTCTTAATCATCTTGTTATTGTAATCTCTTATTCTCTCTCCTCCTGTTATCTTTGTTTGTCATTTCCTTTTTTTATTATTAAAAAAAATCATTGTCTTTGTATTTCATTTTCTTCTTTTTTCTATTTTTTTTCTTCAATCTTTGTCTGTTTATCTGTCTGTATGTCTGTCTGCTTGTATTTCTGTGTCTTTGTCTGACTGCTTGTCCGTCTGTCTCTTTGTATGTCTATCTGTCTGACTGCTTGTTTGTCTGAGTGCCTGTCAGTCTGCCCGCCTGTTTGTAAGTCTGAGTGTCTTTTTATCAGTTTGTCTGTCTATTTGTTGTTCTATCCGTTTGTCTGTCTGTCTGTATGATTGTTTATCTATCTCTCTCTTTCTCTCTTTCTCTCTCTCTCTCTCTCTCTCTCTCTCTCTCTCTCTCTCTCATTTTTTTTCTCTCATTAACGTTCCTAATATACATCGCACATCCCATCCTCTGCAAACACAAAACATTGACATCATTCGCCGATGACACGAAATAAAAGGAGACAATAAGGAACTTTGTCATGTTTCCAGATGAGTCAAGAATGAAACCTAGAGATCATTAACTTTCTGTGATATTTTATCCTTATTTCTTATTAAGAAATATAGAAAAATAAGAAGTTTGATGGTCTTAAATTTTTCTCCCACTCTCTCCTCCATCTCTTCGTCATTTCTTCCTCTCCTCCTCTTCCTCCATTCCTTCCTCACTCTCTTCCCACCCTATTTTCTTCCCCCTCTTACCCTCCCCCTCCCTATTTCCGTCCTCCTTCTCCCCTTCCCCTATTTCCCTCCTATCCTCTCTATTTCCCTCATCTTCCCTCCTCCTCTCATTCCCCTATTTCCCTCCTCTCTCCCCCACCCTATATCATTCCCTCCCCTTCCCCCACCTCCTCTCCCATCTCCCCATCCTCCCTCCCCACCCCCCTTCTGTCACCCTCAACCCATCCTCCTTCCTTTCTCCCATCCTCCCTCCCCTCCCTCTCCCCTTCCTCCCTCCTCCCCCTTCTCCCACCCTTTCACCCCATCCTCCCTCCCTCCCTTCTCCCCTCCTTCCCTCCCCCTTCTCTCCACCCTCTCCCCATCCTCCTCCCTCCATCCCTTCCCTTCTCCCACCCTCTTCTCCCCTTCCCCTTCCTCCTCCTCTCCATCCTCCCTCCCTCCTCCCACCCTCCTCTCCCTCCCTCTTCTCCACTCACCCCATCCTCTCCCCTTCCCACCCTCCTCCCTTCTCTCTCCCTCCCTTCCCCACCCACTCCCCATCCTCCCTCCCTCATTCCCCCACCTCCCTCCCTTCTCCCCTCCTCCCACCCACTCCCCCCTCC